GGTACATTAGAGATAACGGATCTCGAGATAAGGGGTCCGACTGTATATGTTTCACATAAACCAGAGGCCTATCATACAGTACGATGTCTTTGACTTTGACTTGACAAACAAGAAGCTAGGGAACTTGGTTTGATTATTGACATAGTGAGACTGATATTGACGAAAGTTAAATTAACATTGAACACTGGCCATGATCTTGAAGATCTGTTGTTCTCAAGACCTGTTTTTGGATTAACTTGTAGAACAGTTCGCCTAAACGCACCCTATGCTTAAAGATCGGGTCGCTTGAATTCCCCAGTTCCAACTCCTCCAGATGGTGTGTGGAGTTATTTGCCTTTGTAACAGAATCTTGACGCGGATCATGACATTGCATAAGAAACTTGTATTTTCAACCTGATCCTTATCAAGGTTTTGTAAAAAGTGGTATGCTTGTGTTTACGCAGCGTCAAGCAGTACACAGCAATAAGACGACGGTGACACCATTGAGCTTCATGTATGCCCGGGTCTCATGTGTTAAGCCAAGCCAACGCTTAACCACCAGGCCGCGCCCAAAGACGTGGTAGGCACTGTAGGCCCCCTGGGGTTCCGTCAAACCCTGTGTATGTAGACTGTTCTCCTACCATATAGAGATCCCCATCCACCCATCCCCACGCCCAAATACGTGTCCGGGTAAACGAGGTGTCATGGGTCACGTGACAGAGTTCAAGTGCTGGGCATACTGAATGCTATAGATAAATGCATAACACTGAATCTTAAACATCGTCTATGTATTCAGCACTGCCAAGTTTAATACATGAATGATTTTTAATAAATTGGGTATGATAATCACGTACTAAAACACATATGAAATGGGTATGTGTTTTACGTAGTACGGTATACCATGGCTGTAAACCACACACCAGTAAGTTCCTTATGGACGAATATCCATATAAGTTACATCAGAATTTCACTTCTTTTTTTCTTCTTTTTTTAAACAATTTTTATTTCCTCTAGGTACAGTGAAAGGGGATTGAAAAACAGGCAGAGTCTATATAAATATCTCTTCCCATCAAAGTTCGAACAAGCAGCAGTAGTATATATGTTATACAGACGTATTGACTTGATATTAAGTTACATGTGGTACGTCAAAGGTAAACAGTTGTTGGTGAGATATATATAAGCGTGCATGTTTAGACAAATCTTTTACTTATAGAGAAGAAATGATGTACAGAGTCAACGATATTCAGTCAGCATTTCTTTGTCTAGGTTGACGTTGCCAAACAGGACGGTTCGAATGTATCCATCAACATAATAATCTCCGTATAATTTGGGCAAGTAAATAGGTAGTGTAAAGCACTTTCAATGAAAAAATCACATGAACATTCAGCATTATCGTTAACAAATGTTTCAAATTTGTGAATTACACTTACGGGTTTCGACCCATGATTGCATAGTGCTATCTAATAATGTCACATGTTATTGTACTATTGAAATTATATCAGAATTGTACTGGAAGGTTTTTGTAGTAAATCAAAATATAGAGTATTGTGTATAAAAATGGTGTTTTGGGGGTTTCGGTCTGTTGTTTGACGCCGCACTCAGTTCTATTCCAGCTATATGACTGCGGTCAGTAAATAATCAGGTCTGGACCAGAAAATCCAGTGATTGACATCATGAGCATTGATCCACGCAATTTGGATACGATGACAGGCATCAACCATGTCAGCGAGCCTGACCACCCGATCCCTTTAGTCATCTCTCACGACAAGCATAGTCGCCTTTTACGGCAAGCATTTTACATAATGTTACGAGGTGATTTGCAACTTAGAACGCCGATGTTAACCCAGAAATCTGTTGGCACAAAACTAAATTTTGAAATCATTAAATGACCACACAAGATCAATGAATTATCAATCAATTATATTACAAAACACAGATTTAGGTTTACAGTCAATGGGTGAAGACAGTAATAACCGCAACATTAACAGAGCTTATTAAGGTGAGTTCTCTTTGCGCACTTATTTTGTCACTCTCGAATATCTTGAAACAGACCCGTCTCCGTCCTTGAATTCAGAAAAGTACTGAAAGCATGCACGAATTCGGTGTTTAAGTAGACAAAACACTTAAACTTGTCGCTCTTATACAGGTACAGAAACGTCGCGAACGATCAAGTCTGTCATGTTTGTAAACAACAAGGGGTGGACAATTGTAATCATACGCTGCCGCTGACAGACCTCGATATTTTACTTGCACTTCAATGATTGTCTGCCAGTGACAATCACTACAAATAAATATTCAACAGTCTCTACTGAAACCCGAAACCAGATCAAACATTGGTACTGTGAGTATTCAAAGTTAGGTTCCAAGTCATATGGCGGTCGTAAGAAGAGAACTTTTGGATCGGATAGTCAGGCTCGGCGCCATTTTGTTACATGCCATCATACCCTGATGGGGCTACTCATAATATCAATCACCAGATTGCCTGGTCCAGACTCGAGTATTTACAGGCCGATGTCATGTAGATAGAATGTGTGTTTTCATTTTGGCGTTAAACAACAAAGACAAAACAAAATGACAGTTCATCAAAACCGATTTAACATGCATGATGCAACATTCTTAAATATAATAAATTTGATGCAGTTCTCGTTTTTATAACACTATTGTTAAGATCTTCATTATGGCTGTGTACCCATACGGTGAAATGTTTCAGACGAAAAGCCCTTATTAAGGGTCATTCCAAGAGAGGCATAATTATCATCAATCGATCATTATATATTTTCATTTAATAAGAGATGTTCAAAGTAATTGTGGAAAGCGAGCTATTTTTCAAATTTATGGCAATGATGATGAAATTATATTCTACGAAACTTTCAAGCAGCTACATTTCGCTTACTTAAGTACCGATAGATATACACAAACATTTGATGATTGATTGTGAGATATTTCGATAATAAGCTCTTTGAATGTTATAACAGGCGCCAAGGTTAACCATGAATCGGTGTGGGGTTGTGAACAATTTATTTTACATATCGTGATGGCCCTGAAAAACGAATAACATTGAAGACACGACCACAAAATTATGTATATTAATTATACATAAATATTACAGTAACTTATGACAAAAACATGTATGGGATTTATGGCTTCCTAAAACAACTATACATGTAAGTTATCAGACAAATGTATAAAGTTGGGTTTTATCAGCAACTTTGAAATCAGACCAAGGGAGATAATCCATAGGCAAATGACACGTTTTGCCCCAATAATCACAATTAAAACAATATTTACACATTTACCTGACATAGACATCTTTTAACAAGTAACATAACGTACAACCAGATACATATGTTGTAACCGAAAAGTGTACATAGGATACCGAAAAGTGAACATAATATCAAATATATCTATACAAGATAACAAACCCTACCCTTTGTGGAATAGATACAGAAGAGAACACACGGTGACACACACACACAGAGAAGACCATATATGGCCCGCAAGTCACAAACACCAATACACAACATTGTGACAATGTTCTTACCCACACTCCGTCGCAGTGGTGACTCAGCATAACACCACTGCCACAGGCTAATTTGCATATCACGTGACCGGACTTTTCTCTTGTTTGTAAACAAACGCGCTTTTTCAGAAATCAGTATAGAACGGACTAATGCAAGTATTTGGGGGCGCTTTACATATTGTTTTGCATAACTATATAGATATGCTACTACAACTGCGACAGTGAGTTGCATGACAATATATATTTATGCATCAAAGTGTCCGTGTCGCTAGCTCTCCGTTGGGCTTCGATGACAGCACGTGGAGCCGTACAACCAATGTAAACATAGGATAACTACGCAAAAACAAGTAGAATTTTACGTATTTGCATACTTTCTCAATGAAAGTTAACCATTCTTTGACATTTGTTTATGAAAATGTGTAGACTTGTCAAACATGAAACGGATGAAAAGCATATGCAATATCTTGAATGGACTGTGAAGGATGTGACGAATCGTCACATGGCGCTGGCCTGTGGCAGAGGTACTATGCTAGCTGGCTGCCGGCCGCATGGAACTCTGGGTAGGAGAGTGTGTTCTCACCATCACTTATGGTCTTCAAGCACACAATTCAAACCAAACTCTTGCTAATATATGCACATAGCCAACTGGCAATAGCTGACGTTAATAAATATCAATCAATAATAATTGACCAACATTAGATACTTTTGCAGCACCACTAAATAACATTGCTATAATAAACATTAATAAACAATCTATTTAAAGAACATATGAAAGAACTAACATTCCTAAACAAACTTTAGTGTTGAAGTATTTAACTGTTGAACCCTGCCGCCTTGGTCCACGCCTGTTGTGCTGTGCTGTGCTGTGCTGTGCTGTGCTGTGCTGTGACTTAGGTGGTTAGAATGGTGGGTGGGCGGTGTGTGTGTGTGTGTGTGTGGGGGGGGGGGGTTGTCCTAGTTTTGAAATTAGTCAATGATAACCTAAGAATTAGGGTCGGGTGATAAACAAATTTCATCCTGGTTTCAGAATGAGACAAGATTCTTTATCCAGCAGCATCCTAAACCATAGCTATGACAAGAAAACCCTTAAGGTAACTTAAATTCATATGTAATCCTCGACAAATATAACCAAATGCCAATATAAATAACATAAGCTTAAAACCACAAACCTTAAAATACTTCCACCAAGCCTCAATATTTTTAATAACCTTTTTATAACATATTATTATATATTCTTGTTTTACTTTTAAACAATAAAAGATATATATGATATAAAGGATAAACATATGTCACATGGAATATGTATAATCAAGGAATATGTATAATCCCTGAAATTTTAATTTTAATATTTTTTATTTTAGTATTTAATGTCTGATTCACTACATAATCCCTAAATTTTTATGGTACTATACATATTCCCTGATTTAACATCAACATTAATTAATTAATTAATGGCTATATGAGCCTTTCAATATTTTTTCTTTTGGACCTATTCATTTTCTTTTTAAAAAACGCCGGTCAGTTTCTTCATACTTTCTCTGTTCGATTTCAATTGTTCTCCGGTTTCAATTTTTCTTCTTCATCGGCTGAGGCTGTGGCGGGCTTTCCTGAAGTTCTTCTTTTTCTTGGCCTTCGTCCTCGGGTCTGTTCTTTCTGGAAAATAAAAAGGGATACAGATGCTGTTGTGATTCTCAGGGTGACGCACGACGACATGGTGTTTCAACCCGTGTTCCCCGGCCGCGTCATACCAAATACGCTACAAGGTGGTACTTGTTACTAGGGCTGGGACGAGTCCAAATTTACTACCGGGTACCCACCCCCTATTACCCGACCCTACCCGGGTACCCGCTGTAGGTCTCAAGAGATACAAAATGTCCGATTGGGAAACGTTTGACCGTACTCCTGTCAAAATGTATTTAGATACAGGTATAAAATGATTTGGTCATGCATACTGAAGTTGACTGAAGTTTTATCTTTATGCAAACATATAAAGTCAGAAGGAATGAGTGCATAGTCGGAAAGAAATGTGATCATTTGTCACTTATAGTGAAACCATAGAGTTCTAGATATTTTTTGCGATTAAACAATATAATCACGTGACTAACCAGGTAGTCCTACCTGGGTCCTACTCAGTATCCACCCGACCCGAGTACCTGTTTATGTATATAAAGCTTGTAGTGTATCTGTGTTCGGAGATGACATCGCATCAACTCAATAAATATAATGCACTGATATTATTTCGTTTAAGTACTCCAGAATACAGTGTTTTCACCCCTGAGGTCGAAGCACTGGTTCAAATACAATGTACATTGTGATTATCTAAGACACATTAACAAGAGGCAGTTGGTTTAAAACAGACAGAGAGGCAAGCCGTGAAATGACAGTAAGACGGACGGACGGATGGACAGTTGTTGGTTTGCACCCGGGTTCCTGACAGTGTCCATTTACTGACCCATTATTCCTTTTTTTCAAGTATACGCCACCTGCTGCTGCCATGCCAGCGAGCGCCACACCACCGACGACTAACCCCACTGTCAAAGCTACAGGGAATCCGTCTGAAACATCTGAAACAGTCGACATACGAATATAAAAAAGGACATGTCGTAGACAGATTACAGCGCTATGATCACAGAGGCAGTCGAGACGCTCCATATACAGTAAACTACGGTCATGGCAACCTCAAGTGGACCGCTAATTTTAGTTCGTAATAACCGTATTTCGTTATAAGCATATATACAGCAAATGGCCGGGACTAAAAATAAGCCTGTTATATCGGTCAGTTCGTTATAAGCGTGTTCGTATTAGACATACAGTCGGATTCCTGTATCCCGAACCAAGTTCCGGGGTCGAGTTCTAACTTCGAGATATCTGGACAATCGAGATAGCGAAGCATGGCCAGCCAGACTGATCAAGTAGCAGTATTGTAGATCCACATTTATATCATGAGTCTCATGTAAACCGTGACTGTACTTCAACAAAAACGACAACCTTTCAATATAATTAAAAACTTATCGAGTGAGTGAGTGAGTTTGCTTTGAATCGCTTTGAACAGCATTTTAGTTATATCATGGCGTATCAGTGTTGTTTTTTGCAGGAAAGAACAAAGTGGCATGTGTCGTCAGTGTGAAAATATTTGGGAAAGCTACGAGCACAAGTAATAATAATAATAATATTAACAATGATGATAATTACGTGTGTACTTGTATTGCGCTAGCCTCGGCGTATACTCAAAGCGCTAAAATTATTACCCGTTCAATGGATCTGTGCGCACTCAATATTCATTCTCAGCTCCCTGGGGACTATGCAGCAAAAACTGCCTTGCTAGATCTATGGTTCTGACTGACCAAGGATCATAGTCGGCATCTGTTCTTGTGATTGGCAGGTTTCTTTCTTTGTTTTTCAATGGTTTCATGAAGTTTCCTCTTTTTTAAGTGATTGGTATGGAGACTTGGCACGAAATATCATTGTCAGGGTGGTCATAATATTGTTAATTTTGTACTTTAATCCAACCCTATGCAAACATATCAGCATGTAGATATATTAACTCAATGCGGGCCACGTAATTAAGGGATCTTGAAACGTAAATACACGAATGCGGTGGTTGTTATCCATAAAAAATGTCACGTTTTTATCTCATTTCATAACAAATCCGAGGTTTTGTGTCAATCACGAAGCTGTGACGGTGCGAACATGTATGGATCACAAAAATGTTAAACGTCAACACCAGTGTAAAATCAGAGTTGATTATCTGCCGAAACAGATTCCACTTGGCGTAAAAGACAAAATACAGTAAAGTACGGTTATAACGAACACGCTTATAACGAACTGACGGATATAACGAACTCACTTTTTAGTCCCGACTATTTGCTGTAGTTATGCTGTATATATGCTTATAACGAACTACGGTTATAACGAACTAAAAATAGTAGTCCCTTTGAGTTCGTTATAACCGTAGTTTACTGTATTGCTGAAAACTATATGACTGAATCACTGAAAATCAGCGATGACGCCTGGTGTTTGCGAAATGTCCTACACTACAGATAGAACCCGTCACTCCCCTAATTTGCGCTAAAAAAAGTAAGTGCTTGTTTTAAACGCCGCGCTGAAGAACCCCTGCCTTGCAACAGCGCTGTAAACAGACAACCCAGAAACACGATGTCGTTTACTGATTTTGTTTACTGACAATGCGTTTACTGAAACTAAAAACTATATTTAGTATTCCGGTTGCTTGGTGTATGTCCTGTTGTTCACAAGTAAAGAGAAACACTTGATAGGACAATAGTATCCCATGATATCACCTCCTTGAGGTGCTAGGGCATGTTTGCCTAAACACAGAATATGTTCCATGAACTGGTGATTATTCAGTCCTGGGTCTAGACGTTCTTAATCGGTGTTATGAGTTATATTGTTATTATAAATCTGAAATAAGATGTTTCAAAAGCTTTGCAAATTTTAACTTTTACCAAATTGAATCATTTTTCGTTTCACCAATAACGAGCAATGACACCACTTTTGATATATTCAATGTTAGATCGCCGTCAAGCGATGAGTGAGTGAGTGAGTTTGGTTTTACCCCGCTTTTAGCAATATTCCAGCAATATCACGGCGGGGGACACCAGAAATGGGCTTCACACATTATACCCATGTCGGGATTCGAACCCGGGTCTTCGGCGTGACGAGCGAACGCTTTAACCACTAGGCTACCCGACCGCCCCTCAAGCGATGAGGAGACATGGACTACCACGGTTATTCCGGATAGATCAGGTGCCCAGTCAGTACCCCGACGTATTCGTGGCGAGTTTCGGTATGCCTCGAATTCAGTCGAGAGAATTCTTTGTATTTTCCTTATGTTCTTTAAATAACCTTGCATTATAAATATTAGGCATGCGCGCGGGCAGTGTCTAAAACACTTTCTTAGTAAAATACAGATTCTCATACTTTGGGGGGGTTGAGTCCAGTCCAGGGTTCGAACCACACTGCCAGTGTGAGGCACCTAATAGCCAGCACACAAAGTCAGCAATCTAGCCCACTCAGCCACCGAGGCTTCTACAAAATGAAATCCGACAATTGATAGTCTAGATCACGTACGTTGTGTACCCCTCTAACATATACAACATGTCCAAATGTTACCTTCTCGCATTCTCGATTTTGGAAAGTTTGGATGTGCTAAAACCACGAGAATATGAGATCGCGAGAACTTCAAGTCTCGCATTCTCCTACTTTTTTGCATTTTGAGTTCCTATCAAAAGGTCGAGAAAGGGAGGATGGCCTTTACCCTTTATTTTATACCTTCATTATTCAATTGACTTCTGATTTTGTTTATTGGTATTTTCCTAAAAAATTAAATATTGTAAACTTGGTAGTGAGTGAGTGAGTTGGGTTTAACGCCGCTTTTAACACTATTCAAGTTATACTCGGGCCCCGTGGTACCGCGGTATTCATCGTATTTGTGATTTCCGGTAGTTCACGCGGGACACGCCTCTAGTAACCAGGAAGTGCTCACTCCGTAAACAATTTCAGTTTCCTCGGAATGTTCCGTCTGCTGTAAGTAAGCAGGTATTAATGCGTTGATACTTGCTTCTGGCATCTTTTTAAATACTGCCTTACCCCCATCTGTCAATGGCCAACGATAATCATAACCCGCAGTTCCCCAAGTAAACTTTCTCTATCGACTTGAACTAGATCATCTGCATATTCATGGCGACTAATGAGGTAACGGAAGTTACGTAGTCCGCACATTTTTCCCCGCTCTGTGCCAGAATCTATTTGGAGATCATAAGGGCCATCATGCCAAACTTAGAAATACTTTCTTCACTAGTAGCCAAAAGATAAATACATACTTGGGGCATACTAGGAGTGTTTTTTATATATTTATTGTTGACTTTTAACATTTTTCCATTTTGTGATAAATTATTGTCATCCAATTCTTTTTAAATAACAATCTTAGAATATCATTTCTGATATTTTGCTGTTGATTTTTAAAATATTTTTCTCTTACTTTTCGGTAAATATGCATTAAATACCTATAACTGATAACACATTTAGAATTTTACTTGTGCTGTCTTTGTACTTGTCTGGACAAATCACTGATATCTGGCATGATCATACCAAGTGGTTGGTAGAATTATGTCCTCTTTTTGTCCAATTCGGACCTCCATACACAACTTTTCTCTGTACCGCGATACGATGGAGTTCTCTCCCTTGTCCAACAGAGCGCGAGGCCCAGCTTTTACTCGGAGCTACTAATGTAAATAATGAACTTTTATCAGTAAAATATGCATTGTTAGATAAAATAAATGACATCTGATATAGAGAACACGAATAATCATTAGTGTGTGCATTTTGTTCCGTTTAGCGTACATGACAAGTACCCCGAGGTTGCAGGCTATATTATGGCGTGTCAGCTTAATGCGGGAGAAAAGCCCAAAGTGATGCAGGTCTCAGACGTTTACCACTTCGGTGAAAGCCACGAGCACGGGTATGCTGCTGACAAACCTAGAAACATTATCGGGGCGAACCGGGATTCGAACCCACAATCATAGGTTTCTGGCGTGCCCAAGGGGCGCAACTCTGCACACTTAGACGACTGGGCCACCCGTACTCCCCGTACACTTGGTAGATGTAGTGTGTGTGTGTGTTGTGTATATTAAATATTAACACATATTGTACAATAAATACTTACCTCTTTCGTTAGTATAGGTCCACTGAAAGAACACCGACTCAGTTTGACCAGTGAGGTTTGTCTCCACCAGGTAGATGTGACACGTGTTCGTGGTGGAGAGGAATTCTCCCGCTATACACAACTCAGTCGTGTTACAGAGAGTCTTGCAGGCACTCAGGCTTGTGTCGGTCGCCGTGTCACTCCAAAGGCTGTCCGACCCCTTCTGTCCCGGAACCTCAATGAAGCTGCATGATTGACCTGACGCACAAGAAGTCAATGGTGAGTGAGTATGGATTTACGCCGCTTTTAGCAATATTCCAGCAATATCACGGCGGGGGACACCGGAAATGGGCTTCACACATTGTACCCATGTCGGGAATCGAACCCTGGTCTTCGGCGTGACGAGCGAACGCTTTAACCACTAGGCTACCCGACCGCCCCCAGAAGTCAATGGATTTAAGTTTCTTATAAAGACTAGAACCGACATATCTCTACACTCCATGATACAAAGGATAGAATCCACAGTGTATTAATGCATGGCTACACAAACATGAACAAACAAACCGGTTTTAGAAATACCCCAGAGAAGATACGCCTGACAAAGTTCTAAAGTAAAACCGTCAGCTTCAATAAACCCTGATTGCTCTTTGGGTTTATTCTTCTAAATATTAGTTTTGGTCTTAAGGGCGTTTTGAGTATTAGAGATTTGTCATGTCTTAAGACAATACAGTAAACTACGGCTATTAGTCTATATAGCGAACTCAAAGGGACTACAAATTTTAGTTCGTTATAACCGTAGTTCGTTATAGGCATATATACAGCATATATACAGCAAATGGCAGGGACCTAAAAACTAGTTCGTTATATCCGCCAGTTCGTTATAAGCGTGTTCGTTATAAACGTAGTTTACTGTCATGACAAAAGATAGGTCGATTAAAGGTTTAAACAAATGTCGCATTACCTTTGGCCACAGGAAACACAATAACAACAAGTGGAAACATCAGCATTCTCCCTGGCGTCATGGTCGGAGATGCTGAAACAGAAACACTGGAAGTCTTAAACGGATCAGGTGAGGCGAAGGTGAAATGGGGTTTAACGTCGCGTTCAAGATTATTGTATTTCTATAGCGAGGTGCATGCCTGTGTATGTGTTTGTGGCTGCTTGTACTAGTCGGACTTATGCCGATTTATAGTGCTAGCCCACTGAGATACCATGCCGCAGTTTAACATGAATACCCCACTCAGACACAGTATACTGACTCCGAGCCGACCAGTCTTTGTTTTAGACCCTTAATGCCGAGCGCCAGACAGGGTAACAACAAGTACCATCTTTGAACGTCTTTTTGTTTGACGCGACAGGGAGTCGAACCACAGACCTTCCTCTCCCCGGGCAGACACTCCGTCCAGTAGACCACAGACTACAATTGTAAGGTTTCATTACATACGCATGTCATGTATGGTGTCGACACTGAGGGGTCTCTGATTTTCGAAAGGCTTTTGTCCTTTTGCTTCCAGTTTTATAGTGTCTTTATATAAAGTACAGCGTCTATTATTGCTGTCATATGCTCACCGACTTTCCAAACACCCCGCTGACATCATTAAAAATGTGCAACGATTCGTGAGGACTGGTTGTTTGGGTATTTGTCACTGTCTTTTCCTTTTATCGAGGATAATGGGAGTACAATGTTCGGAGTATGAATAGCTGTTTCATATATTTTTTATACGAATGCAATTAATGTGCATTCAATGTATTGTATACTTGTCATCGTGTATCCGTCCCGGTAACAACATTGAAAACCGGCCCTTCAAAATACAGAAAACTACGTTTATATCGAACTCAAAAGCTACTATTTTTAGTTCGTTATAACCGTAGTTCGTTATAAGTATATATACAGCATAACTACGGCAAATAGTCGGGACTAAAAAGTTAGTTCGACATATCCGTCAGTTCGTTATAAGCGTGTTCGTTATAACCGTAGTTTACTGTATGTCGTAATGAGGTTGTTAAAACGGTTATATCGAAGCCTATAGACCCTGAGAACATGATCTATTGCGATGTTGTCTTGTGGAAACCAGAGAATAAATGGTAGCTCAACTTCACTGAATTATGTTACTGTTTTACGAACATTAAACACGGTTTTTTACGCATGAGAACATAATATTTATCTTTTAATGTTCTTCAGTCTGTAAATTATTCATTCACAGGTGATACATGATATTGTGCCATATCGCATTGCCTATTTAATTCATCGAAGTCTTTGAAGGTATACAAATTCAGTACACGTTTTTAGATTCTAGACTTATACGTCTTATTAGCATTTGAATGTGGTATTTATTTCATTGTTCATTCTAGTGAGGATAAATAAGAGAAGCAAACATTCTTCTTCACAAAGCTGTATGACGACTACCTTCCAGGGTTATCTGGTAATCATAGGTGAGGTGAAATGGGGTTTAACGTCACGTCCAAGATTATTGCACTTAAATAGCGACCTGCTTGAACATATGTGTGTGTGTGTGGCTGCTTGTACTAGTCGGACTGATGCCCACTCAGACACAGTATACTGACTCCGAGCCGACCAGTATTTGTTTAAGACCCTTAATGCCGAGCACCAGACAGGGTAACAACAAGTACCATCTTTAAACGTCTTTTGGTGTGACGCGGTCGGGGATCGAACCCCGGACCTTCCTCTCTCCGTGCGAACGCCATACCACTAGACCACGGAGGCGGTTCTGGTAATGATTAAACACATTGTTTTTAATTCATTTCCTGTTGAGGTCATGTATGCCTGCTTAATTGATTTTATCCAAAGTCAAAATGGATAATAGTGTTTGATAACTGTTGCAATGTTTACTGGATTGTCACGGTGGGTATATTTTCAAACGGACTATCTAATAAAAGTGAACGTGTATATCATATCAGAAGCACCCCATTGAGAGTGTGTTAGAAACATATTTAATTCAGTGTTGTTTGCATATATGGATGTATAAACATAAAACCACCGTGCTCAAGCTGACATATATACATTATGCATAGGTTGCGTTGCCTTGGTCGTGTAAATATAGCGTGCCAAGCTTTGCATGACCCATGGCAACTGGTTTGACGTTAAACTTAACATGCATAGTAAACACCTCCAATTTTAATCAACAACGTGCCAGAATACATTGTCATGTGTACTACAGACGTTAAGTAAGTATGAAAAGTCTGAAGGAGAACAATGTATTAGGCAGTTTAATATTTAATATTGCCATTTTCATACAGTCGTGCCTCACTGGATTCTACTTGCTGAACATGTGGATAATAGGAGAACCGAACACTCCTCCACACAGTACGTGTAGGTTCACCCTCTTCTCCGATTGCATTGGGAACCCCAGGACTTTTGATTGTGGGTTTGAATCCCGGTTCGCCCCGATTGTTTCTAGGTTTGTCAACACCATACCCGTGCTCGTGGGTTTCAACAAAGTGGTAAACGTCTGAAACCTGCATCATTTTGGGCTTTCCTCCCACATTAAGCTGACGCGGTGTGATATAACTGTAATCCTGTCAAAACAGGCGTTAAACCCCACTCACTCACTCTTTTCCAATTGTCGTTGCATCACTGACATTTCGTTGAGATTTATGATAATATAATCGTTTGAGTGTTTTTCTGTATAATCTGTCATTACAAAGGCCATATACAGAACTAACTTGTCATGGAGAATGGTCGTATTCTGACTTCTAGAATAAAACTACATTGGATGAAGTTTCCTAATTCACTGTTAAATTATTGTTGCATCTGATGAAAGTTTGACCTGCGTGAAAATAAATTTGCAGGGAGCCAATAGAAATAATGGACATAGAAGGAATCATGATGATATAGATAGTCTTTCTCACAGTCCCTGGACCATATTATTTTCCCTTCCGCCAGCCCTTTCTGTAATGCAAAAGCCCTAAATGAAGCAAGTCTAGATTTTCCACAAATTCACTGGGGCTCCTTTCAATTGAAATGGAGTTTCTTTGTTTCTATCCAAATTATATATATTCAGAGACTGAGCATAGACAATGACATTTTTTTATTAATACAGGTAACTGTAAATATATGCATCGTCCATCCAAAAGATAATCATATACGTGTTTGCATTTAATATGGCGATTCAATCATGTTCTGGGGTATAGATTTCGAGGGTTCGAGTACATTTTGTTTCAGACCAAAGCATTATTATCTGACATTCCCATTACAATCAGATCTTTTGCTTTGATAGGATACCTCTCCGCGTTAAAAATCATCGATGAAAGGAAGACATAAGCGACCTTTTAAAAAAGAATTTGGTGGTTGTTAGGCCAAGCAGGTTTCTAAAAAGATGCGGCTTCATTTGTTTGCCAACTCGATTCGGAAATCTGATCTTTAGAAAGGAAAACTCACACAGAACACTGCTGTCCCTTCCGATGTACTCCTTCTTTTAGTGTAGATGACACTAAATGACAGGTTATATTATTTATCCGCAACAATATAATTGCGCGTACTCTTTCATTTCCATTCTGACTATACTAACTGCCCGATTTCTTCATTTTCGAGACACAGATATTAGATATGCTTCGCTCACGCTCTTAACTTCGAATATAGAAGCCTCGGCGCTGATTTGCCACTTAGAAACATTACTCCACACCGAATAGTAACAGAGCGGAGCTGGCCAAGATTGACTTGCAGTGACATACATGGACATACACGGACTTTCATTGGCTAACAATGTACCACTGTTATTGGAAGTGATTCACCACACATGATTCATATAAGTTGTATTAGAATATACATTGCTATGATTAATATTGGAAGATATCACTTAATTTTAGAACATGGATAATGCAGAACTTTACGTGTTTTGTTGTTACTTGTTGTCTTAGCTATAAACAAGCAATCAATGACACCCCCCCCCCCCCCCTCCCCCCCCCTCCCTCACACTCACAATATCAATCCTTAACTTATTACCGCTTTGTCATGTCTCTCATTGCAATTATACACCTACCTACCTACCTACCTACCTACCTACCTACCTACCTACCTACCTACATACCTACCTACCTACATACCTACACACACACACACACGCACACATACGCACACACACACATATACGCACACGCACACTCACATGTACCAACACACACGCACACACACACACACACACACACGCACACACGCGCGCACACACACACACACACACACACACACAGGCGCACACAAATCATTGCTCTCTCGTTACATACACTACATAATGGCATACATTGTGATTTACCTACCTACACATACAAAACAACACACACACATATACGCACACAAACACTCACATGTACCAACACACACACACACACACACACACACACACACAGGCGCACACAAATCAATGTTCTCTCGTTACATACACTACATAATATCCTCATTGTGATTACGTTGTACGTTGTGAGCACATTTATCATAACGACGACCACGTATACACAGCTAGTTAATCTGAAAAGTAGTTAATCCGGTTGGTTTTACTGGATATACAGGATTTATACATACAAATATACTTTATGTGGCTACTACAACAACGTCCCTGTACACGACTACTACACCGTTACTGACAACACGACCAGGAACACCATCATGCTTCACACATACTCTCACCTCTCCGGTGCGCTCACAACTCCCGTCCGCCTCAAGCTGTCGCCTGTTTACGTAATATGTCCGGCGTCGTCTGTTGTATACCGTCAACTCTAACCACGCATAACGGAAACCACGATCACGCTTCTGGCCATCCGGGTCAGCTCAGTATCTGTCAATGTCTGTCAGTCTGATCTGTACACATCTGTACACATGAGTGGGTGTACAACAGCCCCGGTACAATCCAAGTATGTTATGTCAAGTTTCCAAGGTTGCACCTGCCGTAGCGAGACAGAACTACATTTTGAAACGCACCAGTGCATAGTGTATATGTGTTTAGGCTGTTCCGCCTCACAAAAAGTACATTATTGAAAGGTGTCTTCCGGTTATTTCTTTACCCCGCTCTCGGCCATAACCTAGCTACACCGCGGAGTTATGGGTATGGCTTTGGTTAACTGTGCATGTTTATTTACAGGTTCAATGATGAAGGTGTGGTGTACTGTGCATGTTTATTGTACAGGTTCAAGGATGGGGGCGTTGTGTACTGTGCATGTTTATTGTAAAGGTTCAAGGATGAGGGTGTTGTGTACTGTGCATGTTTATTGTACAGGTTCAAGGATGAGGGTGTTGTGTACTGTGCATGTTTATTGTACAGGTTCAAGGATGAGGGTGTTGTGTACTGTGCATGTTTATTGTACAGGTTCAAGGATGAGGGTGTTGTGTACTGTGCATGTTTATTGTACAGGTTCAAGGATGAGGGCGTTGCGTACTGTGCATGTTTATTGTACAGGTTCAAGGATGAGGGCGTTGTGTACTGTGCATGTTTATTGTACAGGTTCAAGGATGAGGGCGTTGCGTACTGTGCATGTTTATTGTACAGGTTCAAGGATGAGGGCGTTGTGTACTGTGCATGTTTATTGTACAGGTTCAAGGATGAGGGTGTTGTGAACCGTGCATGTTTATTTATAGGTTCAAGGATGAGGGCGTTGTGTACTGTGCATGTTTATTGTACAGGTTCAAGGTTGAGGGTGTTGTGTACTGTGCATGTTTATTGTACAGGTTCAAGGATGAGGGCGTTGCGTACTGTGCATGTTTATTGTACAGGTTCAAGGATGAGGGCGTTGTGTACTGTGCATGTTTATTGTACAGGTTCAAGGATGAGGGCGTTGCGTACTGTGCATGTTTATTGTACAGGTTCAAGGATGAGGGCGTTGTGTACTGTGCATGTTTATTGTACAGGTTCAAGGATGATGGTGTTGTGAACCGTGCATGTTTATTTATAGGTTCAAGGATGAGGGCGTTGTGTACTGTGCATGTTTATTGAACAGGTTCAAGGATGAGGGTGTTGTGTACTGTGCATGTTTATTTACAGGTTCAAGGATGAGGGCGTTGTGTACTGTGCATGTTTATTGTACAGGTACAAGGATGAGGGCGTTGTGTACTGTGCATGTTTATTGTACAGGTTCAAGGATGAGGGTGTTGTGTACTGTGCATGTTTATTGTACAGGTTCAAGGATGAGGGTGTTGTGTACTGTGCATGCTTATTTACAGGTGCAATGATGAGGGTGTGGTGTACTGTGCATGTTTATTGTACAGGTTCAAGGATGGGAGCGTTGTGTACTGTGCATGTTTATTGTACAGGTTCAAGGATGAGGGTGTTGTGTACTGTGCATGTTTATTGTACAGGTTCAAGGATGAGGGTGTTGTGTACTGTGCATGTTTATTGTACAGGTTCAAGGATGAGGGTGTTGTGAACTGTGCATGTGTATTTACAGGTTCAAGGATGAGGGCGTTGTGTACTGTGCATGTTTATTGTACAGGTTCAAGGATGAGGGTGTTGTGTAGTGTGCATGTTTATTTACAGGTTCAATGATGAGGGTGTGGTGTACTGTGAATGTTTATTGTACAGGTTCAAGGATGAGGGCGTTGTGTACTGTGCATGTTTATTGTACAGGTTCAAGGATGAGGGTGTTGTGTACTATGCATGTTTATTGTACAGGTTGAAGAATGAGGGTGTTGTGTACTGTGCATGTTTATTGTACAGGTTCAAGGATGAGGGCGTTGTGTACTGTGCATGTTTATTGTACACGTTCAAGGATTAGGGCGTTGTGTACTTAGCATGTTTATTGTACAGGTTTAAGAGGTTAAGAGCCGAAGAGGATTAATTCGTCTTATGACCAGCCAGGATAAATGACATGGATTAACTTGACCTAAGATCAAACAGTGGTTAGTTATTTAAACTGCAACAACCAAGGGATTATATATGATTGTAAGTTAAAGAAGTATGTAGAGAGAAAATAAATTGAAGACGAATATAGATATAAACTAAGGTCGAGAAGGGTAGAAAGAATATAATTTTCAAAATCATCACAATGGCTGGTTTAAGGAAGGTCGAGTTTGTCATATTTGCTTGTGTGTTTGTTTAACGAGGCTCTCAGCAGTATTCCAGATATTCCAATATTCCAGACAGTCTGTAAATAATCGAGTCTGGACCATACAATTCAGTAATTGACATCATACGCATCGATCCACTCAATTGAGATCGATGACATGCATCAGCCACTTCAGTGAGCCTGCAACCCGATCCCGTTAGTCGCCTCTTACGACAAGCATAGTCGCCTTTTACGGCAAGCATAGTCGCCTTTTACGACAAGCATAGTCGCCTTTTACGGCAAGCATAGTCGCCTTTTACGACAAGCATAGTCGCCTTTTACGGCAAGCATAGTCGCCTCTTACGTCAAGCATAGTCGCCTTTTACGACAAGCATAGTCGCCTCTTACGACAAGCATAGTCGCCTTTTACGGCAAGCATAGTTGCCTTTTACGGCAAGCATAGTCGCCTGTTACGGCAAGCATAGTCGCCTCTTACGACAAGCATAGTCACCTTTTACGGCAAGCATAGTCGCCTCTTACGACAAGCATAGTCGCCTTTTACGACAAGCATAGTCACCTTTTACGACAAGCATAGTCGCCTGTTACGGCAAGCATAGTCGCCTTTTACGACAAGCATAGTCGCCTTTTACGACAAGCATAGTCGCCTTTTACGACAAGCATAGTCGCCTCTTACGACAAGCATAGTCGCCTTTTACGGCAAGCATAGTCGCCTTTTACGACAAGCATAGTCGCCTCTTACGACAAGCATAGTCGCCTTTTACGACAAGCATAGTCGCCTTTTACGACAAGCATAGTCGCCTTTTACGGCAGGCATAGTCGCCTTTTACGGCAAGCATAGTCGCCTTTTACGACAAGCATAGTCGCCTCTTACGACAAGCATAGTCGCCTTTTACGGCAAGCATAGTCGCCTCTTACGACAAGCATAGTCGCCTTTTACGACAAGCATAGTCGCCTTTTACGGCAAGCATAGTCGCCTCTTACGACAAGCATAGTCGCCTCTTACGACAAGCATAGTCGCCTTTTACGGCAAGCATAGTCGCCTCTTACGGCAAGCATAGTCGCCTCTTACGACAAGCATAGTCGCCTCTTACGACAAGCATAGTCGCCTTTTACGGCAAGCATAGTCGCCTTTTACGGCAAGCATAGTCGCCTCTTACGACAAGCATAGTCGCCTTTTACGACAAGCATAGTCGCCTCTTACGGCAAGCATAGTCGCCTTTTACGACAAGCATAGTCGCCTCTTACGACAAGCATAGTCGCCTTTTACGACAAGCATAGTCGCCTCTTACGGCAAGCATAGTCACCTTTTACGACAAGCATAGTCACCTTTTACGGCAAGCATAGTCGCCTCTTACGACAAGCATAGTCGCCTCTTACGGCAAGCATAGTCGCCTCTTACGGCAAGCATAGTCGCCTTTTACGACAAGCATAGTCGCCTTTTACGACAAGCATAGTCGCCTTTTACGGCAGGCATAGTCGCCTCTTACGGCAAGCATAGTCGCCTCTTACGGCAAGCATAGTCGCCTTTTACGACAAGCATAGTCGCCTTTTACGACAAGCATAGTCACCTTTTACGGCAAGCATAGTCGCCTCTTACGGCAAGCATAGTCGCCTCTTACGGCAAGCATAGTCGCCTCTTACGGCAAGCATAGTCGCCTCTTACGGCAAGCATAGTCGCCTCTTACGGCAAGCATAGTCGCCTTTTACGACAAGCATAGTCGCCTTTTACGACAAGCATAGTCGCCTTTTACGACAAGCATAGTCGCCTCTTACGACAAGCATAGTCGCCTTTTACGGCAAGCATAGTCGCCTTTTACGACAAGCATAGTCGCCTTTTACGACAAGCATAGTCGCCTTTTACGGCAGGCATAGTCGCCTTTTACGGCAAGCATAGTCGCCTTTTACGACAAGCATAGTCGCCTTTTACGGCAAGCATAGTCGCCTTTTACGGCAAGCATAGTCGCCTTTTACGGCAAGCATAGTCGCCTCTTACGACAAGCATAGTCGCCTTTTACGGCAAGCATAGTCGCCTTTTACGGCAAGCATAGTCGCCTTTTACGACAAGCATAGTCGCCTTTTACGGCAAGCATAGGTTGCTTAAGACCTATTCTACCTCGGGTCAGTTTGTCATGTACAACAAGAACATTGCTACACAAACTTGCATTCACTGGAAGTGTGTCAAGTAAAGGAAGATGCAACTTGAAATACATGTAACAAAAGGCTTTGTGTATGTTTTTCATGCCTATTTTATACATTCGTATTGTTATTGGGTTGTACCATTCCAATGATAGGCAAGGGAATATGCAGTCAGCGCTAATATGCAATTAAACACTTAACGTAATGACACACGCATCAACACGCACATTGACGGACACATTAACGTAATGACACGCACATTGACGGACACATTAACGTACTGACACGCACATTGACGCACGCATTAACGTAATGACACACGCATTAACAGGCACATTGACGCACACATTAACGTAATGACTCACGCATTAACACGCACATTGACGGACACATTAACGTAATGATACACGCATTAACAGGCACATTGACGGACACATTAACGTAATGACACACGCATTAACACACACATTGACGCACACATTAACGTAATGACACACGCATTAACACACACATTGACGGACACATTAACGTAATGACACACGCATTAACACACACATTGACGAACACATTAACGTAATGACACACGCATTAACACACACATTAACGTAATGACACACACATTGACGCACACATTAACGTAATGACAAACGCATTAACACACACATTGACGCACACATTAACGTAATGACACACGCATTAACACACACATTAACGTAATGACACACACATTGACGCACACATTAACGTAATGACACACGCATTAACACACACATTGACGCACACAT